TGATGATGATGACAATGATTATTATTATGATACAGCCACCAAATGGTCTAGTTTGGAGTCTAAATGCTATATAATTAATAAAGAACAGGACTCCATATCACTAGCATATCCATACTTAAGCTTGTCCAATTAGGAAAATATTTCAATTTATTAATTTAAACAAGATTTGGCTTCATTCAACTTTGGAGCTCATCTGAAATTTTTGGTTTAATTTTTTCGTAATTGGACAACATGGAGCCTACTATATATAATTATATAAGACATACAAAGATTCCAAGGCATCTTTATATGTATGTTACTAAAGCATATTATAAGTTTTAAGCCTTATAACCTCAACATAAGATGGATCATTTTCCCTTAACTCGCCTTAACTCGCCTTAACTCGCACAAACTCGCAACAAATAGGCGAGCTCAATTTTTTCTTATCTCGCCTTAACTCGCCTAAACTCGCATTAGCTCGCACAATCTCGCGGCGAGTTAAGGTCCCAGAGTAGGCCTGGACACGTAAGAATGCGAATAAAAGAAGTCGGGCCCTGGCAAGATCATTCTCTCTTGGCCCTGGGTAAAATTTGAAAATAGAAAAAATTTGAAATACCCAAGAAAGACTTTAATGAACAGATGATCTTGCTTTTTTGAATGGTCGGTTCACAGCGTTGCCATGGTGTCCCCGAATCTCGGAATGCGAACGTAGTTTCATTCACTTTTGGATTTGATCAGCTGATTCCTTTACCTTATTACTTAGGACTCATTCTGTGACCTTTTCTAACATTGCGTCACCATACAGTGTTCGTGTTGCATTCAAACTTTGGAACGTTTCCCCATACTTGCCGCGTGGGTGTCCCGACATTAGCGAACTTTGCGCTCGTCTTTCCAGGGCTGAGTTGCTTAAAAGGTGGATAACACTATCCGCTGGATAAATGTCCAGTGGATAACGCACTTGGTTTCCCTTAAATACATAAAAAATTATCAGGCCGCTGGATAGTGATTTATCCGGTGGATCGTCGTTATCCAACGTTTAAACAAATAAGTATGGGGCCAGAGCATTAAGATGTTCTCTCCTGTGAGTGTATACCAAGCGCCTCGTGATGTTTCCCCTCTATAATATTAATTCAATATATTTACTCTTGCAATCCTAAAACACCCTTTCTGCGGCAAGATCCGTTATTTCGGCAGGCTAAGCAGTCTACGTTTGAGCATCTATTTCATTTAAAAGGGTCTGACCTCTTTAATGGCGTGCTCTTTATTTATTTTGTGCATGAGACTGTTCAAGGACCCTATTCATAACTCCTTCCCTTTAATCTCTCTCACGAACCGCTTTTTTTGTGCTTGGACCATGGTGTTGCTGGCATGAAAACCGTTGAGTTAAACCTCTCGTTTCCCGCACCAATTTTCATACCTTCTCCACCTCCCTTGTAGCCTTGCTAATATTCTTCATTCCCACTGCCGGTACGGTACGGTTTTCCCACTGCTTTCATCCACAGTCGACTCCCGACAACTCAAACCTTCAGGAAAATCGAGAAAAGTTAATCAACTTCAAAAGTACGTCCGCATCTCGAAAACTAAAGCCCCTCCCCACCAAATTCCCCCACATCTCCGCCGACCCTGTGTAAATCTTCTAACCAAATTAGTCAGTCGAAAGTGGATACGAATTAGGTTTTTCTTTTTTTCACCGTTAAATATTCATAACTTCTCACTTTTCTGCGTCATTGTTCAATAAAAAAATAATGAAAAACTGTCTGAAAGAGTGTATCGTTATAACGTTTTTCTGTTTATTAAAAAAATGGAAAAATAGAAAATTGCTCGCAACACTTGTCATTTTTTTCATTTTTTTTATTAAAATGGAATTATGGAAAATTGGGCGATAGGTATGCTATTTTTCTATTTTTTCATTTTTTGAACACAATGGAAAAAATGAAAAAATGGTGCGAATAAATATAATTTTTTTCATTTTTCCGTTTTTCTATTTTTTGCGAAAATCGAAAAAATAGAAAAATGAGTTAGGAATCGGAGATTATTACATTTTTCTCATTTTCTAACAATGGCAAAAAATAGCATAGCAAAATAGCAAAATGGTCCGTGCACACTTCGGCCAATCTAATTTTTCATTTTTCCAACAAAAACGGAAACAGGAAATATAACTTGTCATATTTACATATTTAAAAGTACAGACAAAAATAGAAAAAAAGAAAATGGTCAGGAAAGTTGATCATTTTTCATTTTTCTAATTTTGAAGTCCGCTTCAAAAATACAAAAAATACGGTAAACGGCTAAAAGCGATATTTTGCTTTTTTTTATTTTCTTGCTATTGTTAGAAAATGAGGAAAATGAAATAATGTCCGATTCCTAACTCATTTTTCTATTTTTCCGTTTTTCGCCAAAAATGGAAAAACAGAAAAATGAAAAAAATCATATTTATTCCCACCATTTTTTCATTTTTTCCATTTTGTTCAAAAAAATGAAAAAAATAGAAAAATAGCATACCTATCAACTAATTTTCCATAATTCCATTTTAATAAGAAAAATGAAAAAATGACAAGTGTATTTTATTTATTTATTTAATAAATAGTAAAACTAGATTGGCCCAAATGTGCACGGACCCAAAATGGTCCGTGCACACTTCGGCCGATCTAATTTTCTATTTTTCCAACAAAAACGGAAAAAGAAAATATTACTTATCCTTATCATATTTGCATATTTCAAAGTACAGAAAAAAAGAGAAAAAAGGAAAATGGTCGGGAAAATCGATCATTTTTTTCATTTTTCTAATTTTGAAGTTAAAATCAAAATTACAAAAAATACTGTTAACGGCTAAAAGCGATATTTTGCTATTTCTATTTTTTTGATATTGTTAGAAAAGTGTGAAAAATAAAATAATCTCCGAGTCTTAGATCATTTTTCGATTTTTCCGTTTTTTCCAAAAAATCGAAAAACAGAAAAATGAAAAAATGATATTTATTCGAACCATTTTTTCATTTTTTCCATTTTGTTCAAAAAATAAAAAAAAATAGGAAAATGGCATACGTATCGCCTAATTTTCCATAATTCCATTTTAACAAGAAAAATGAAAAAAATGACAAGTGTTGCGAATAATTTTTCCATTTTTTCAATAAATAGAAAACAAACAAAAACGGACAATTTTTCATCTTTTGTTTTAATGGAAAATAGCAAAGAAAAATGATAAATCATGAACATTTACCAACAAAGAAAAGAAAAACCTAATCCACTTTAGACTCACTAGTTTTGTTAGACGGTTTACACAGCGTCGACGGAGACGTGGGATGGGGAGGGCCGGTAGGGGCCCTTTAGTTCTCGGAATGCGAAAGTAGTTTCATTCACTTTTGGATTTGATTAGATGATTCCTTTACCTCATTACTTAGGACTCACTCTGTGACCTGTTCTAACACTGCGTCACCATAAAGTGTTCCTGTTCCATTCAAACTGTAGAACGTTTCCCCATACTTGTTGCATGGGTTTCTCGACATCAGCGATCTTTGCTCTCGTCTTTCCAGGGCTGAGTTGCTTAAAAGGTGGATAACGCTATCCGCTGGATAAATAACTATCCAGTAGATAACGCAATTGGTTTCCCTAAAATACATAAAAAATTATCAGGCCGCTGGGTAGTGGCCTATCCGGCGGATAGTCGCTATCCAACGTTTAAACAAATGTATGAGCAAATATATGGGCCAGATCATTAAGATGTTCTCTCCCGCGAGTGTATACTAGCCGCCTCGTTATGTTTCTCCTTCATAATATTAATTCAATATACTTTACTCTTGCAATCCTAAAACACCCGTTCTGCGGCAAGATCCGTTATTTCGGCAGGCTAAGCAGTCTATTGTTGAACATCTATTTCATTTAAAAGCGTCTGACCTCTTCACTGGCGTGCTCTTTATTTATTTTGTGCATGTGACTGTTCAACGACCTTCTTCTTAACTCCTTCCCCTTAATCTCTATCACGAACCGCTTTTTCTTTTGCTGGGACCATAGTGTTGCTAGCATGAAAACCGTTGAGTTACTCCCCCTCCCCCTTTTCCCGTACTAATTTTCACGCCTTCTCCTCCCCCGCTCGTACCCTTTCTAATATTCTTCATTTCCACGGCCGGTACGGTACGGTTTTCCCGCCTCTTTCATCCACAGTCAACTCCCGACAACTCAAACCTTCAGAGAAATCGATATCAAAAGTGAATGGAACTACGTCCGCATCTCCCTCCCCCCGCCAAATTCCCCCACATCTCTGCCAACCCTGGGTAAATCTTCTAACCAAATTAGCGAGTCTCTTCTTCACCGTTAAAATATTCATAACTTCTCACTTTTCTGCGCCATTTTTCAATAAAATAAAAAGTGAAAAACTGTCTGAAAGGGTGTATCGTTTTAAAGTTTTACTATTTATTAAATAAATTAAAAAAAAATAGAAAATTGCTGGCAACACTTGGCATTTTTTCATTTTTTTATTAAAACGGAATTATGGAAAATTAGGCGATAGGTATGCTATTTTTCTATTTTTTCATTTTTGGAACAAAATGGAAAAAAATGAAAAAATGGTGCGAATAAATATGATTTTTTTCATTTTTCTGTTTTTCTATTTTTGGCGAAAAAGGGAAAAATAGAAAAATGAGTTAGGAATCGGACATTATTTCATTTTTCTCATTTTCTAACGATAGCAAGAAAATAAAAAATAGCAAAATATCGCTTTTAGCCGTTTACAGTATTTTTTGTATTTTTGAAGCTGACTTCAATGATGCAATGATGACAGAAATGTAATTCACTCATCTCCTACAGACGTAATTTCTGTCCGACGCCATTTTGCGCCCTCGAAAAAAAATACCCGCAGGTGTCACACGGTCAATATGGCACAATTTGCGTAGCACACTTGACTATTTCGATGGAACCAATCCCATTACTGGAAAAGGAGGTATCCTGAGTTACGGTCTCCTACCCCGATTATAGCTCCTGGTCCACATGAATTATAGCTATAGCAAACGCTTTTGTCTTTTCTTCGATTTTTTTTTGTATCTTCAGGTGCTCTCACTTCATCCAGTATTCTTGGCAGCCTTGATAGCAAGTACCTGAGCCAGTTGAGTTTATACTTAGACCCAGTCCTTCAGAGTCCAGGTCGCAGTAAGTTTGTGAGGTGTTGGCACGCAAAGACAGATGGTTGGGCGGCATCAACATTTCACAGCAACTGTGATGGAAAGGGTCCCACTGTAACCATCGTCCAAGTCGGCAGTTACATATTTGGTGGATATACTGACAAGTCTTGGTTCAGTCAGAGTAAGTACCAATAACATACAATAGGTGAAGATTATACTTGGCACAGCGAGTGTTAGACACGGCTTATGCTATGGGGGATGCATCGTCCCAGGTGCACAGTTTATCGCATAAGCCCTACATTTCTACTTTTCAAGTGTATCTGCGACGGAAAGGGTTTCACTTTGAGCTCTTTTATTTTTTTTCAAGTCTTTTCTTTCTCAAGTGTTAAGCAAGATATATTGGCGAATGCATGTGCAGGTGCCTCGGGTTACCACTACGTCTTTTCAATCGCTAATTCTGTTAATATTAAGTACAGTTACACAACTTAGTGGTGTATTTTAAATTCTCTTTCACCTTAGGGGCTTTCACCACCCATTACGTCATTAGTTGGAAACTGGGCAGTCCCCAAACAGTCTACCAAAATAACAAACTGTAAAATGAAAAACTGATATTTTATATAATTTTTACTTGTTTTTTGTTATGGAATTGCTGTTCTGAGATCTTTGAAATCATACTTAAAGAATTTCATAGCTTTTATCTGATAAATTTTGTTGGTCCTCAGTCGGTGATGCCTATGGACACAATCCACAGCCTGTATAATGTTTTTAACTTTGCACGTTCGTATTTTGAACGAGCACTTGTGCTCTTAGACGATAACGTGGATAAATAAATTATTGATTGATTGATTATTATTGAAGAACTTATCTTTCACTGTCTAAAGTGCATATACATGGCTATGTTTTCCACAGGTTCTTATCGCTTTGTCTCATCGAGTAAATCGTTCCTGTTCTCGTTATATAACATCAATGGCTATGCTCCTGTGAAGCTGAACATCAGGACAAGTCGTTACAGTTACGCTATAGCCTCAGGTTCCAGCTACGGACCATTCTTTGGTGGTGGGGCCGACCTGATTATTCATAACAACGCTGCAAGCAACCAAAATTCCTTCACCCACTGTGGAGACACCTACCCCCTCCCCCCTGGGTCCTCTGCATCTGGTCGCTCTTGTAGATTTTATGCAGGATCCCACCAATTCACTCCCACTGATGTTGAAGTGTTTTACGAGACAAAGACATAAAGCGTTTATGCAAAACTATATTTACTGACCAATTTTCACGGACCCGACCACAAATAAAAACTGACAAAAGTTGCAGCTTTTATTTAAAATTTTGGTTTATAAGTTAAATTCCTCAGTTACAATTTAACTGTTTCATTTGCGGACAGTTGAAATTCAGTTTGAAATTGACTTTCAGAAAACAATTTCCTTTTTACGATTTAACATTGTTGTAATAACTTTGTCTTGGATTTTAACTTTAAGTCGAAAGTCGGGGATACCGTGTTGGGGATACCGTGGTTCAACCTGAAAAATAGCGCCAAGGGTATGCACAATTTGTTTTAAAGAACTATGCCTAAACTTCCAGAGGTCCACTTACTCTTTTTTTAGTTTAAGCTGCCACAGGTGAGCCATAAACTGGTAAATTCGTAAGGTTAGGTTAGTTAACCGCCTCTCAGCATTTTAAATTTTTTTAATTTCTTTTTCCGATTACAAATTCGGCATTAAAATCAGTGGGAGGATACTAATAATTTCTATCGTTTACATACATTATAATGCAAAATTAAGGTTAAAAACCCCTGCAAAAACCATGTACGATCAATCTTGCTCAACGTCGGATCCAAAAAGATCGTGATCAGCCACAATAGATCAAATTTAAAACGTTACAGTCAAGAAGACTTTTATAGGGGCTGATCAAACAACGTGAAATAGAGTTTAGTTGCGATATTTCGACTGGCCAATACCAGTCTTCGTCAAGTTTATCGAGATATCACGACGTTGCAGAAATATATATGAAGTAAAATAATGACCGGAAATTACATACATGTGTATAATATGACGTGGTATGGTGTGGCTACTTTAAAAAGACAAGATAACAAAAAAATACAAGATATACTATATATAGTTACAGTTCATCACGTTTATTAATGCCCAGAGGCTCAATTGTCTTAGCTTTGTGGATAAGGTGGGCTTCGCGTGCTTTCCTGAAGAATCACGCCCATTTTAAAGTTTTTCAATAGGAATCAAAAGCATATGATTGTTGGAATGATTACTGGATAGAAAGTGTTCTGAAACTGCAGTATGGATGTAATCACCAGTAGGGTTGAGTATAGGTCGTTTTTGTTCATTAAAACGGTCTTTGAGGCGAAGTTTAGTTTCTCCAATATATTGTAGACTACACAGGCGACATTGAATCAAATAGATAACATTAAAAGTTTCACAAGTGATATGAGGTTTTATGTGGTGGGTCTCACCTGTAGAATGAAAAGTGTATTGATTACGGTCATGTTCAATACAGGGACAGGTGGTGCAATTCCTGTTGTTGCACCAAACGGAACCGGGTGTGGGTCGGGAGTTTCTGGTATCGGTACTGTAAGATAACTGGGCTCTAACGAGGATGTCGCTAATATTTTTACAACAGATGTTTGAAGCAAGGTGAGTAGTTATAATTTATACGGGTCTTGGATCGGTTGTTTATTTGAAACATTTCACGGGGCTAACTCACTACGGGGCGAACTCACTACTGAGCGAACTCGACAATTAGGGGGCTAATTAGTAGGGGGCAAACTCACCGTTGGCCACAAGGGTGGATTTAAAATGTGACGTTTGAATTCTAGCATGGAAACGAGGCTGGACCTTAAAGTACCTGTAAACTATCTTTAATGACAACAGATTGTTATCAGAATTACTCCTATAACACATAATAATGTATCTGACTTAAAAACATATCTGTTAAGCAATTAATCAGGCCACGTGACCGCAATAGCATGAAAACGAGGCCTCACCTTAAAGTACTTGAAAACCATCTTCAATCGACAATGACAACAGATTGCCATCAGAATTACTCCTATAACACATAATGGTGTATCTAACTTGAAAACGTATCTGCTTAAGTAATTATGCTGGTCACGTGACCCTCGTTCTGTCAGATTGGGCTTCCTCTTTCGGATAGATCAGCGATTACCTCAGCAGTTCTTTCACACTAGAAATGCAAGTCTTTGGCTGATACAGTTGGCAGAAAAACTTGTCAATTACAGCAACGGCTCTTGATGTAGGCTGCACAGTTGTCCCCAGATCCGCCAGTGCAATAGACGGCATCTTCTTAATCTTCAAGAAATGCTCTAGATCAGGCCAGCTTTCCTCTATCCGGGAAGCTTCCCCGTAATATCGGTTCCACTGCCCCACTGTCATTATCTTTATGAAGAATGCCGCATCCCGCCTAAAGATAAAACTATTATTGTCACTTTTACTACTACATGACGGTGATTAAACGGAGTTTATTCTCAGTTTAAAATTGAAACTTACTAACCTATCAAAGACATGACGCAATTCAACGATGCCATTGTACTTTTCAAATATCTTCGCGGTGAAACAACAATTATGGTAAAATTGGTCAGCCAGGTAGGAACAACTCTTAATCCAGTCCAGTTTTTCAAGACCCTGCACTCTCTTGCCATTGAATAGTCAGACCCTCTGTGTAAGCTGTTATCCCTGTACGAACTGGCATGCAAATCCTCTTTAGTGCAACCTTCGATGTCTCTTCCTGTATCCAGCTTTTCAAGAATGTCCATTAAGGTGCTCTTTCAGGAACCGTGAAGGATGGTGCCAACAATCGTGCTAACCTTGGCACTATTGAGAACTCATACTGTTAAACAGCTAACTTGCTGTCAATCTCAGGGCATGCCTTGCAGGCCTGACATACTCTTAACAACATGGAGCGATTCGCCAGACGAAAATGTGCTAATGTTGTGTAGAGTTTCTTGGATCCTTCTCCTCCTTATTTCCGGGGGGAAATATATGACCTATACAGGGATGTGCCGCTCGACAGGGTATTGTATGTGCAATTTCAGGATTTTAATTCACCTGTAGAAAGTATAAAACAGCAAACTGATCCTTACGGCAGGGCAACGAAAAAGTAAAAAAAAAAAAAACCAAAAAAATATATATTTAAGCAAATTTGTCCAATATTTCGGTTTGAAAGACAAACCTTCAGGGGCTGAAAGAAGGGGCCAGCCCCTAAAGAACATTTGCCTTTCAAACCGAAATATTGGGCAAATTTGTTCAAATACATATTTTTTGTTTTATTCTTTTGTTTACTTCTTCATCGCCTTGCAATACGGATCAGTCTGCCGATTTATATCTTCTACAACTTATTATTATAATGATCTTGGTCTACAACTGGCAGATCCGGCACTACTCAACGGTTTGTCGCTGTGGACTTGCTGATATTTCATATTGGCTCATATTTAATCAACCCGCTAGCAAAGGTCTGGCATATAGTGAACATTGTCCCCTCGTCCACCGGGTGTGTAGGTAACTTGAACCGCAAGGCCAGGATCGCTAAGGTCTGATTTCTAACGGCCATGCATGGAATTTCGTGGCAAAGCATCGTCGACGGTCCTCGATGGAAAAGAGTCCTTAGTTATCATGAGTTATGCGAGTTGAAATTTGAGCTCTGTGATCGCTTTGGTCCAATGGAGGGAAGCAGCAGTTGAGGAGGATTATAACCTGCCCTGGGATAATTTTAGAGGCGATTTTAGTATTTGGAGTGAATTTACGGCTGATTTCCAGCGGTTGAAATGCGAGAACTCCGCTTGAGCAAGTAACCAACCTTGAGTAAACAATCGCGTTCGTCCGAACGCATCCTAATCTTGAACTCAGAGCTCGAAATTAACCCTCGCAAACTCGCAAAATGCGAGTGATTTTGATAATCTGCGAGTGAGAAAAATATCAACTAGCAAAATCTTACAAGTTAGAATTATCCAGGTCTCCCAAACAAAGGAAACGAATTTGCTAGTGCTCTCACCGGTTTGCTAGTGGAAAAAAATGTTACTAGTAAAACTTTGCAAGTGCACTCGAANCCAGGTCTCCCAAACAAAGGAAACGAATTTGCTAGTGCTCTCACCGGTTTGCTAGTGGAAAAAAATGTTACTAGTAAAACTTTGCAAGTGCACTCGAAAGTTAACTCCGAACCCTGTTGGTGTTCCTGTGGTACAAAGCCACATATTTTCGAGGCATCGGATCGGGGGCGACTGCTGAGTAGCCGCCCCCACTGATTATATCAGGACCATCTCGGCCGAGAAACTGGACTCGTTTCGACTCGATTTCGTTTCCGTAAGTGACGAACGCAGATCCGTAATCAATGATAATCAAATATATAGAGATCTATAGAGAGACCAATGGCAGAACTAAAACTCGCTGGAAGGGCGCTGAAACAGCCAAAATGCTAAAGAACATACCAAAAATTTATACCAGTAGACAAAAAAGACGTTCTGATGTCTTTTCTAGCTATTTTTGACCCCTAAATAACGATCGCTAAAATCCCCATGACCCTTTTAATATTTCTGTTATGCAACAACGATTTTCACTCGTGAGCTTGGGGTATCTGCGGTTATATTTGGTCTCACATGTATCTTCTAAATTGATACCACATAACCAATAAGTCTATTCCGAGCTGTTAAAGGCCTGAAAATTACATAATTTGTAGATTTGGGGAAATCTCGTGAGTTTCCACAGGCTTCAAAATTAAGTTGTGCGACATTTTAACGTCCAGCCTCGTTTCCAAGCTATAATGGTGACATGACCAGTTTAATTGCTTAAAAGATATGTTTTCAAGTCAGATACATCATTATGTGTTATATGAATAATTCTGACAGCAACCTGTTGAAATTAAAGACTGTTTTCAGGTACTTTAAGTACCAGCCTCGTTTCCATGCTAGAATTCAAACGTCACATTTTAAATCCACCCTTGTGGCCAACGGTGCGAGTTACAAAATTGCCGACAACATTTTTTATGTTCCTTAGAGTCCCCTTAACACATCTGGATAGGTGGCTTGCTTTTCTCACAAAAATCCCACGGGACTTTATTTCTTGACATATGCTCCCAGACTAATTGGGCAGCTTGTCGTGTAAATAGTATTTCTGAAGGTTCAATTTCCATGCCACACATAATCTGGACATTTAGACAAAGCTGCCATTTGGCTGTTTACAAACTAAAGAGAAAAGATGGAAGGCAAAATAAATTATTTCCATTCTAAGACTTTCTTAGGTTTAAGAGACACTGTTAAGTCTAAAGTTAATATTTAGGAACGAAAAATAGTGAATGATCAGACAATATATGCTACCGTAAAAAAAAATCAAAACGAAATAAAATGATCATTATAGCATTTGTGCCAGTTCACGTGTACACTCTAAAACTTGGGGAAAAATTAACTTTTTATCATTTGTCTAAAAAATGCCTATGCAGCGTTTTTCTCCATATTGAAGCGCAGTTATCTCTGAAAAATGCGTGGTTACCCCCCAGTTTTCTTTTTGAATTTCAATAGCCCCTGATATTATACAGATTTAGCCAGGGCTGAAAGCGAGGCTCCCATTAATAAATTTATAATTTAAATCAAACAATAAACTTGTATTCCACAATTCAGTTAACTTTAAAGCACATTCATGTGACTTTTCAGGGAAAGGCTACGTGATTTTAGAGAAAAATAATTTGCAAACAAATCAAGAGTGAACCAAATCTTACATCGAGTTGATAGCCTCATATGTACACCTAAAAACTGGCAATCATCTTCGATCACATTTATCAAGGTGGCTCGATATAGTTTTTCAGGGTCAATACCTCCCAAGTTTGAGCGTAAACTACGTCGCCATAAACAAAGTTTTGGAAAAATTGCCACCACAGTTGTATTAGATGAAGATGAAAACTTGTTCTGATCAGGGTTGCAACGGCATCGGAGTTGTCATAGCAACGAAATGACGCTATTACCTATTTTACTTGCAGCAGTATATCTCGGCACAGGGAACTGTTCTTCGAAAATCATTCATGGGAGCTTTTTCCTCCAATAGCAGCCTCGATGTTCGTGAAGTTTAAGCGAAATCTGTAAGAGCGTTATCGAAATATTTTGGGATAAAGATTTTGTGGTTAGAAATACGGTAAAAAATGGACAATCTTGGTGTTCGGCTGTTATCTGTAGAAAACGAAGCGCTTTTGACATGCAATTTCACCTCATAGTAGTTTCAATCTTTTTAAAAACGTGTGTGAAAGATCAAGGAGATAGCTCCAGCCGATTGCTAGAAATAAGGGTTTGATTAGTATGTATCGCGACGCTCTTGTTAGCGGTTTTTTGAACATTTTGGTTTACTTTAAAAAATTAGCGAATAATTTTTAAACCACTCGATAGATTTTTTAAAAAATTTAAGATTCTTGAGATTAACCTCCCTTTTATATAACCGTTTTAGTTTCAAGATTATTGATATATTGCAAGGCAGTAAAATAAGGGCTACAATTCGCTAATATTTTGGCAGAAAGTTTGTGTTTACAAGTGTGAGCCTCTCATTATTCAGGGTATTGTGTCCAAGTTTCATATTTTCGTGCACAACAATAGCTAGCATTTTTTGCATATTTCAAATGCATTGTTAGTTACTGCTGTTCACGTGAAAATGAAACTTGGAGACACTTTCACTTGTAATGACGAAACTTCCGATAAAAAAGTAACGAATTGTAGCCCTTATTTTACTGCCTTACAATATATCAATAATCTTGAAACTAAAAGGTCATATAAAAGGAAGGTTAATCTCAAGAATCTTAAATTTTTAAAACAATCTATCGAGCGGTTTAAAAATTATTCGCTAATTTGTTAAAGTAGAACAAAATGTTTACAAAAGCGCTAACAAGAGCGCCTCGATACATACTAATCAAACCCTTCTTTCTAGCAATCGGCTGGAGCTATCTCCCATGATCTTTCACGCACGCTTTTAAAAAGATTGAAACTACTATGAGGTAAAATTTCATGTCGAAAGCGCTTCATTTTCTACAGATAACGGCTAAACAACAATATTGTCCATTTTTTACTGTGTTTCTAACAATAAAAACTTTATCCCAAAATATCTTGATAACGCTCTTACAGATTTCGCTTAAACTTCACGAACATCGAGGCTGCTATTGGAGGAAAAAGCTCCTGTGAATGATTTTCGAAGAACAGTTCCCAGTGCCGAGATATACTGCTGCAAGTAAAATAGGTAATAGCATCATTTAGTTGCTATGACAACTCCGATGCCGTTGCAACCCTGATCAGAACAAATTTTCATCTTTATCTAATACAACTGTGGTGGCAATTTTTCCAAAACGTTGTTTTTGGCGACGTAGTTTATGCTCAAACTTGGCAGGTGTTCACCCTGAAAAACTGTATCGAGCCACCTTAAGAGCCATAATGGCTCTTGATCACCGTAGATTAATTAGGCCTGGAAAAAAATTCCTGCCGAATTTTTTGCGTTCGACAAGTTTACTTTACAAAATCTTGCCAACAAATCTTGGTGCGTGTAAGCCAACCTTTTATATCATTTATACATCACATTTGAGGTGAAACAGTACTATGAGGCATTGTTTTTATCGTACAGACCTCGGACAACAGAATGCAGTATTTCACAATTTTGCAAAGCAAATTGCCACCATTCAATATTCAGGACGATTGAAGCACGCGTTGGCTCTAGCTAAACCGTTAAAAATTTCCAAAATCACCTATACGGCCAGCCGGTTCTGAATTTCGCAGTGCTAGCTGTGGCGAGTGTTTGAATGAACATTAACAGACTTACGCTCCAACATAATAAAGAATTTATTATGTTTGTTTTTTATTTTAAAATGGTTTAACGCGCGGCATTTTGAGTACCCCGGGAAGCGTTGTTCACTGAACGACTGAAAACAATCGGCACAGCGATTAAAATTACAAGAGAGACTACTAACGATCAATAAAAGAAATATAATTCGGTGAAACATATACAGAGACGACAATTTTCATTCAGGAAGACAAATATTAAAGTGTCTCTAAAAATCCTGAGTCTTCGAGCTTAAAGCTGAAGTTTGTATTTTAAAAATTTATTCATTTCCATTCTCTGAGTGGGCACCGTCCTTAAGCTTTAATAGGGAGCTTTAGCATCGACGACGGCAACGGCAGCGAAAACGTCAGTTTTAAAATGAATTCCCGTTTTTTCAATCTTTGTCGCGTTTATTCCAATTTGCTGAAAATGGCAAGTGTAGGCGAATTTCCCTGGAGTTGATTTCTTGAGGACAGCACTCAAGTTTAGAGAGAGAAAAAAGAGATTCGTCGTCGCTTGTTTACGTCCTCCATAAAACTTGCAATCAGGCATTTTCACGCCGTAGTCGTGCAAGGACGGTAAAGAAATGTACAAAAAAGCGTGATGCACGTGCAAAGTTGTTGTTTTGCGTAACAAACCCTTTGCTTTTTTGACGCCCTGGGGCCGGTTGCTCGAAGCCTGGTTAGCGCTAACCGTTGGTTAAGAGGTATCAAAATGTATAGGTTTCCATGGTATTTAACGCTGGTTAGCACTAACCATGCTTCGAGCAATCCGGGCCTGGTTGCCGTCGCCGTCGTTGTTGCTTAAGCTCCCTAATAAAATAAAACCTCAGCCTAGTCCCTAGGCGTTCTCTCTTGCCCCGTTGTCCTCGCGAAGTCTGGGAAAGAGCGGGCGAGAGAACGCCTCGCCAATATTGACAAAATACCCCTGATTTTAGCGCAATTTTACCCCTGGTCACATTTTACGAGTTTCTACAGCTCCATTTTGGAAAAACTGCTCGCCGATAGTATGGATGTGTCGGTTGAAGTGTCTGCAAACAGCGCTAAGTTCTAACTTTGTAACATATTATTTTTCCTGGTTAATATTTTGTTGGTCGTGTTGGATTGTTTACGGTCAAAGATTCTCCTCCCGGGATTCTCCTATTCTGCGACTCAAGCTAAAATTCTCCCAGACCCAAAAGAACGATGCAAATTTTCACCAAAAACTTACATATACATTTTTTTTTCGACTCAGAGTGGGAGTACGATAGCGGGGAAAGCGATGTAGAGCTTACAAGTCACCATTGTGTGGCCACCCGAAAGGTATTCGATTTTTGTTTTTCTACAAGTATATTTTTATTTTAAATACACGAAAGTATCTCGGTGTTGTTTTATTGAGCAACATTTTATAATTATAATAAGTACCCCTCGTCGAAATCTTTTTTGTCCTGTCAGAACACCAAAGAAGCTGAAGAAGGCATCGATGAAGCTAGGTACTACTGTATACTATATCAAATCTTCAAATTTTTTTAAGTTTATACTACATATTAAGCTTAACTATTACTTTGTTTTTTTTAAAGAGGTGGACAAAGGAGTTGTAGGCAAAGGAAAGAATAAGACCTGTAGGGCAAACCAGTCCACTTTGATTTGGCTGTTGTGTAAGGTGATGATAATAAGCTTATTTCTTGTGCCTTCATACTTAGTGTTTTGCTTAAAACAAATAAATTTTCCAGGATGTTCTCCTCGTTCGAAAGTTATGTGCTATGAAAAACGGATGTTTCCATACAGTTCTTCAGCCAAGACAAACCGGGAAAAGAGGTTAAAGGAAATAGGTACATGTACAACTGTACAATGTATTTACCATTTTTTGCCCGGTTTAAGGTGTTTCGATACAGTTTTTCAGCGGCGATACCGATATTTTTCAATCGCCTTAAAAGTGATTTTTTCCTTGTCCGATCGCTATGAAATTTTCACCAGTAATTGCTTATGGATTGAAATATGTGAAAATGTAGTTTTAAATAAAATCGATATTACTATGACAACAATAAACAAAAAACTTTGAAATTGATAAAAGCCGAATTTTGTGTGATCTAGACCTGCTACTGAAAATCCAACACTAGGAACTTAAAGTTTGGTGTTTAGCAAACAATCTCCGTAAGAAGTAAAAAATTCTGTATGTTTGAATTCGACTAAAACGAAAAAATATTTCAAACCTTAAACTTTCAATAGCCGTGATAGGTTATTTAATAAAAACGTTATAAATGACTCAAATTATTCTTAAGTAGCATAAGAATGATGCTTAATATCATATTTTGATGCTAGGAAATTTTGGTGCACTTTCGTTCATGCGATCTTGAAATCTAACCCGTTTTCTCACCACCTGTATAAGTGTAACTTCATTCAGAATTTGGACTTTTAGCGCTTTCTTGTATATCTCCAAAACGACTCGAACGAATTTTTTTAAAATCTCTTCACATAATCTTCATAATGTATATAAAAATGTCTGTAACTTTCATTAAGATTGATTCACTGCAACACCTTGAAATTTCAAGAGAAACCTATCCTACGAACCAGTCAAAAATCTGCGTTACAATATTCACTGTTTTGACGTTATGCTAATTTTTCCAAATTAATGCGGACAATACATATATCCATGACTAGTACATTTCAGTGTGAGTATTGTCAATGTTTTACATTCAAAAGATGCGATAAATTCAAACTAAAATGTACTAGTCATGGAGGTATGTATAGTGCGCATTATTTTGGAAAAATTAGCATAACGTCAAAACAGTGAATGTTGTAACGCAGATTTTTGTCCGGTTCGTAGGATAAGTTTGTCCTGAAATTTCAAGGTGCTGCAGTGAATCAATCTTAATGAAAGTTTCAGACATTTTTATATACATTATGAAGATTATGTGAAGAGATTTTAAAAAAATTCGTTCGAGTCGTTTTGGAGATATACAAGAAAGCGCTAAAAGTCCAAATTCTGAATGAAGTTACACTTATACAGGTGGTGAGAAAACGGGTTAGATTTCAAGATCGCATGAACGAAAGTGCACCAAAATTTCCTAGCATCAAAATATGATATTAAGCATCATTCTTATGCTACTTAAGAATAATTTGAGTCATTTGTAACGTTTTTATTAAATAACCTATCATGGCTATTGAAAGTTTAAGGTTTAAAATATATTTTCGTTTTAGTCGAATTCAAACATACAGAATTTTTTACTTCTTACGGAGATTGTTTGCTAAACACCAAACTTTAAGTTCCTAGTGTTGGATTTTCAGTAGCAGGTCTAGATCACACAAAATTCGGCTTTTATCAATTTCAAAGTTTTTTGTTTATTGTTGTCATAGTAATATCGATTTTATTTAAAACTACATTTTCACATATTTCAATCCATAAGCAATTACTGGTGAAAATTTTATAGCGATCGGACAAGGAAAAAATCACTTTTAAGGCGATTGAAAAATATCGGTATCGCCGCTGAAAAACTGTATCGAAACACCATAAATTATTGAATGAGGTAGAGTACAATGTGAAGGAGTATGCAAATGGCATAGAATGATGCCCAGCTCAGATCAACGTAATTCTGCACATCAGATAAAAAACAAATGACAATTATTGTGTTATTTTTCATTTTAAACATTTTTAAATTTGTAAACTTTTTTTAGAAAACTTTGCCCTTTTCCCAGCACAGTTCCAGGATATCATATGAAGGCATTTTTTCTTGCATATACTTCACAAAAAGTAGATGAACATTCATCCAGAAACATGATTTGCATGTTCTTGCATTCCATCCAGTTTTAGTCAGAACATTTAGCTATTTCGTCTTGTTATGGATGTAAACACACATATTTAGTTCACTCAATGTTGTCCAAGTAGCCTTGTGGCTAGGCAAATATACCATGTACTAACCTTGCTTCTAAAACCATATATCATGGAATAAAGGGTATATTGCTTGCATCCTCCGAATATGAAAAGGACCTGTTGGTTATGAATTAGCCGGGGGTTTGAGTCAGTTGAAAATGGCTACGTATTTTGAATGAACAACAATTGACATATTTATTTATTTATTTTCAAGAGTTCGCCCCATGCCCATCCTCTTTATCTCTATACTATAACTTGAGCTTAATTCTGACTTTGTAGTTTTGAAGATCTGGAGAAGTGAGTTGTAGCCACTGGAAATAAAATGACCTTTAGGGTAAACTTGAAGCTATTTAAAATTTGTCTGATGCACATTTAATGATTTTGCAGGATATTCTTCTCGTCCTTCTTTTATATGTTCTGTAAAAAAGGACACAAGGACATTACCAAACAGTCCATCAGTGAAGACCATTCAGCAGAAGAGACTGAAAAAAAAGGTACAACTATGCAATGTATTCATTTATTTGAAAAATTCCAACCATTTCATTATTGTTACACAGCAATTTTAAACTAGCCAACCTTAAAAGCATATTATAGCCTTGTTATAAATCTGCCAGTATTTCATTTTTTGATCCCAGTGAGTCTTATATTGGGACAGGCAGAAAAAGAGGGGGGGGGGGGGGGCTTAAGGGGGGGGGGGACTCGAAGCCTGGTTAGCGCTAACCGTTGGTTAAGAGGTATCAAAATGTATAGGTTTCCATGGTATTTAACGCTGGTTAGCACTAACCATGCTTCGAGCAATCCGGGCCTGGTTGCCGTCGCCGTCGTTGTTGCTTAAGCTCCCTAATAAAATAAAACCTCAGCCTAGTCCCTAGGCGTTCTCTCTTGCCCCGTTGTCCTCGCGAAGTCTGGGAAAGAGCGGGCGAGAGAACGCCTCGCCAATATTGACAAAATACCCCTGATTTTAGCGCAATTTTACCCCTGGTCACATTTTACGAGTTTCTACAGCTCCATTTTGGAAAAACTGCTCGCCGATAGTATGGATGTGTCGGTTGAAGTGTCTGCAAACAGCGCTAAGTTCTAACTTTGTAACATATTATTTTTCCTGGTTAATATTTTGTTGGTCGTGTTGGATTGTTTACGGTCAAAGATTCTCCTCCCGGGATTCTCCTATTCTGCGACTCAAGCTAAAATTCTCCCAGACCCAAAAGAACGATGCAAATTTTCACCAAAAACTTACATATACATTTTTTTTTCGACTCAGAGTGGGAGTACGATAGCGGGGAAAGCGATGTAGAGCTTACAAGTCACCATTGTGTGGCCACCCGAAAGGTATTCGATTTTTGTTTTTCTACAAGTATATTTTTATTTTAAATACACGAAAGTATCTCGGTGTTGTTTTATTGAGCAACATTTTATAATTATAATAAGTACCCCTCGTCGAAATCTTTTTTGTCCTGTCAGAACACCAAAGAAGCTGAAGAAGGCATCGATGAAGCTAGGTACTACTGTATACTATATCAAATCTTCAAATTTTTTTAAGTTTATACTACATATTAAGCTTAACTATTACTTTGTTTTTTTTAAAGAGGTGGACAAAGGAGTTGTAGGCAAAGGAAAGAATAAGACCTGTAGGGCAAACCAGTCCACTTTGATTTGGCTGTTGTGTAAGGTGATGATAATAAGCTTATTTCTTGTGCCTTCATACTTAGTGTTTTGCTTAAAACAAATAAATTTTCCAGGATGTTCTCCTCGTTCGAAAGTTATGTGCTATGAAAAACGGATGTTTCCATACAGTTCTTCAGCCAAGACAAACCGGGAAAAGAGGTTAAAGGAAATAGGTACATGTACAACTGTACAATGTATTTACCATTTTTTGCCCGGTTTAAGGTGTTTCGATACAGTTTTTCAGCGGCGATACCGATATTTTTCAATCGCCTTAAAAGTGATTTTTTCCTTGTCCGATCGCTATGAAATTTTCACCAGTAATTGCTTATGGATTGAAATATGTGAAAATGTAGTTTTAAATAAAATCGATATTACTATGACAACAATAAACAAAAAACTTTGAAATTGATAAAAGCCGAATTTTGTGTGATCTAGACCTGCTACTGAAAATCCAACACTAGGAACTTAAAGTTTGGTGTTTAGCAAACAATCTCCGTAAGAAGTAAAAAATTCTGTATGTTTGAATTCGA